CACATGACAGTGAATGAGCATACAAGATTCAACTGTTCCATCTGTTTTTTCTTTTGTTCCCTTTGTTTGGTCTTAGAAGATTAGGTCTCCACCTCTGTTAGCAGAGAGAGGTGAATAAAATAACTATGTAACCTTGAGCTATTTAGAGTAGATTTTGATTTTTGCCTAATCAATGAATCAATGAATCAATGAATCAATCAATCAATCAATCAATCAATCAAATTTTATTTGTTTTGCACATTTCAGCAGGAAGGCATTTCAAAGTACTTTACATCAGGGGTGCTCAAGTCCAGTCCTGGAGAGCTACCATCCTGCAACTATCAGATGCATCCCTGCTCCAACACACCTGAATCAAATGAATGACTCGTTACCAGGCCTGTTCATAGCTGAGCCTGATCTACTGGAGTAAGGCTGTAGCTCTCCAGGACTGGACTTGAGCACCCCTGCTTTACATCATAAACACAAAAACACAGTCATGCAACATAATAAATAATATATTGTTCCAACATTATATTTTTTAATTGATTACGTTTCAAATACAATTCTAATCAGGTGTGTTTTTAGTTGAGATTTAAAGGAAGTCAGGGTTTCTGCTGTTTTACAGTTTTCTGGAAGTTTGCTCCAGATTTTTGGTGCATAGATGCTGAAAGCTGCTTCTCCTCTCTTGGTTCTGGTTCTGGGGATGCAGAGCAGACCAGAACCAGAACCAGAAGACCTGAGAGCCTGGAAGGTTGATACAACAACAGCAGATCTTTGATGTATTGTGGTGCTAAACCATTCAGTGATTTATAAACTAACAACAGTATTTTAAAGTCTATTCTTTGAGCTACAAGGAGCCAGTGGAGGGACTTTAAAACTGCTGTTATGTCTCTATCTTCCTGGTTTTAGTGAGAACAGGAGCAGCAGCTTCTGGATCAGCTGCAGCTGGAGGATTGATTTGTTGGACAGGCCTGTGAAGACGCTGTTACAATAATCAATGCGACTAAAGATAAACGCCTGGATGAGTTTCTCTAGATCTGGCTGAGACATTAGTCCTCTAATCCTGGAGATGTTCTTCAGGTGATAGAAGGCCGACTTTGTAATCATTCCTCCCAGGTTTCAGGCTGATTGTTAGTTTTTAGTTGTAATAACTGAAGTTGTGCATTGACTCTAGATCTATAGCTCTAGGTCGGTCCTCTTTAGGTACAAAAATAATGACTTCAGTTTTGTTTCTGTTCAGCTGGAAAAAGTTTTGGCACATCCACACATTTGCTCTCCGTCTGCAGATGTATTAAAGATTGTTTTTGCTCCCTGAATTTTACTCTCAGTCTCTGAATTGTGCCTTTCACAAGTGCAACAAACCCAAGAGTGGGAAGCATAGTCCCGCCCCCTGACAAAGTGGGCGGAGCGGAGGGAGAGCAGAGGAATCCCATTCCACTCTGTGTCCACATTGCAGATAAATCACACATTTCTAAATTGGGAAACGCTATTGATCCACTCTCGCCGGTTGCCACGACAACTTTCACTCCTGACTAAGTTGCACCAAGCTGTATTGCTGCAATCAAATTCAACTGCCTAAGAACCGCTCGGCCTAAAAAGGTCGGCTCTGAGACAATTTGAGGCAAAATATTGCACAATGAAACAAATTTACATAAAAAATTCTGCATTACCTCAGAAACATAATAGAATCCTAAACAACATGTTTAGACAATTTATCAGCAAAAACATTGATCTGGGCTTTAGTTACTGTTACGGTTAAAGTTAACAGGATTAAGGGGGCCAAATGCAATTCCAATGCATGCCACACTTTTCAAATTTGGAAAACTGAGCATCATTTTAATTAACTGATTGATTGACTGACTCACTGATTGATTGATTGATTGATGGCTTTGTGTTGGTTTATCACTGTGAAAACTTAAGTGTTGCTCAATGTGGAAAATGTTCAAACACTGTTTCAAACTTCTAACAATTCTTACTGAAAACCACGTCTCGACCTCTATCACTGCTTTCGAAGACAACAGCTATGAAAGAGTCAAGTTTCTGTTCGACTTTAAATCAGAAGCACAGTTTTTCAAACTGGCTGCAATCACAATGCATCATGAGCCGGAAAGAGATCCATAAAACTTTCTTAAACTTTCACCTTTTTGTCCTTACTAAACACCCGATGCCTTCAAAAGCAGCGAACAGAGAAGTTTAACAGAGCAGTGTAAATAATCTTCTGACTCATTTCAGTTTGACCTTGAGGGCTCTGAGTCTCTGAAGACTGCTGTAGCTCCAGCTTCTCACAGCTCCCTCTTAAAAAGTTTTCTCCAGTGGATGCACTCCACTCCACAGATCCCAAGCCCCTCCTGCTTGCTATAAAAAGACCCACAGCTTCTCTAGAGGAAAAGAAAGAGGAGAGGGGTGGGCCGAGAGGGGGTTGCGGGGGGGCTCTCTATTTTAAAGTGCATATGAGGCTAAGCTGCTTGATGTGGCCAGGTGATTGAGGCAAGCTGCTGCCGTGCCCGCCAGAGAACAATGTGTGATTTTCAGAAATCAGAATCCTGCGAAGGAATCTGTGCTGCTCTTTATGTGTGTGTGCGTGTGTGTGTGTGCTATAATGGAAGGGATTCCCTGGTTCTGTGTTTTCTTGTGGTGCTCCAAATGTATCCCGGGAAAGACTCAAGTTCTCTCCCAACAATTTCTGTGGCTATGACTCAAATTTTGTCTTTTTTTTTTTTTACAGGAGATGTATTCACAAGCTAAATCCTGAAATGAAAAGGGGAGTGTGTGCGTGTCCATGTGTGCGGATGTGAGTGTGTGTGCTCGTGTGTGTGTGCAATCATAAAGCTGCTTTCTATTTCCAGACTGGAGGGAGAGTCTGACTCACTGTCACAATGGAGGGGAGCTGAGAGGGGGGAAGAGGGAAGAACACTGGAAGAAGTGAAGAAAGAAGAGGAGAGAAGGAGGAAAAGAACTGCAATTTTGCTAGCTTTTTTTAAATTATAAGCAGCGCTGTACAGAAAGCTACTGTTTCTGTTCTCATAAAGGCCAAACAGAACTTTTTCAAAATAGCACATTTCACATCTTTGAGTCACTTGGGAAAATGTCACCAGCAAACTGAAATTTACATCTTGTATAAAAAATAAATAAAAAAACAGCATTTGACATTTGATGAAGCCACACAATGGAAACCTTTGAAAATAAGGTTTCCATTGAACTGATCTTACAGCTGATCAGTTCAATCTTCTCTGTCAAGATGTTTTTTTTTCTGTATGGCTTTGACAAGAGGAGAGAATCTTATGAAGCTGTTACGATTATGTAAAAGATGATAGAACTCTGCCAAAAAAGGAAAAAAGAAAAAGCCAGCAGATATGAGCTGGTGTGGCTCAGGTGCCAGCATGCAGGCAGAGCTGATCCAGAAACCGTTTCATATTTATTTATGTCTGTTAACATGAGAATCTCTTTACATAACAACTTTGATAAAAGATACCACAATTTCACTTTTTCATTAAAAACCTCAATTTAAACATGTTTAACATTATGATGTTGGTTTTACAAAAAAAGAACAATTATACAACCTTACATATGACCACATATGAATTATGATATTGATAATAATGGTATTTTCAACATGTTTGTTTGACAGTTCATGTGTTTTCCAACTTGGACATCAAATCTTACTAAGTATTATAATTTCAGATTATTATTATGCTTGAAATAAGACAAAACTAACTTACAAGTAACGTTTCACTAAGTCAATAATTCTTTAATTCATTTTAGAAATGACTAATTCCACTGGTAGATTATTTCACTTATGGGAAAAATGTCTTCTTATGAATGTAATAATCCGCCAGTGGAACTTTTCATCAATATTAAACAATCATTGACTTATATCTTCCTGAAAAGGTAGTTTTGTCTTATTCAAAGTATACTAATATATTTTCACTAATAACTACAGATACTTGGTGGTAGCTGATAATATAAAGGTTTGGCGTTTTGCAGTGTAAATATTTCTAACTAAAATAACATGGGGAACCTGACGCCTACTTTAAGCCAGCTGACCAGCAGTGCACAGGAGCAGGTTGGGGATTTAACTTCCTTTGTTTGTGGCTCTATGAAGGCTGTCATGCTGTCACTGTCACATGGTTCCAAAATTTGTAAGAAATGTTTTTTTTTTTTTTTTCCAATCCTGACCTTTACCAAGATTGGTACCACAAAATATTGTGATAAAATTCTAAGTTCATATCGCCCCGCCCTGGCTTCGTCATCATAGCAACTAAAAAAACTCAATAAATTGTGTGCCACCTCATCACTGGACAGACCAGGGGCGCCTCCACACACCAACACACACACACACACATACACAGGAACATAAACCAACCAGCTATTTGAGTGTTTTCCTATTTTATCAAGTCATCCCGAGGCTGCAACCAGCCTAGGGGTGACGGGCGGGGAGAGGCAAGGAGCAGCGCAAGGAGCAGCGCAAGGAGCAGCGCAAGGAGCAGCGCAAGGAGCAGCGCAAGGGGGCGCACTCACAGGCGCGTCAGGTGGCTCCCAGCGCGCCGCTCCTCTTTAAATCAAAGTAACTCCCGGTGTTTGTGCGGCTGCTTCCAGGCTACTCCTCTTATGGAAAGAATTCCGTCCCCCAAACAGGAAAGGCGTAAAGGCGCAGCAGCAGCAATCTGTGGGAAACGTGTGTTCTAGCAACAGGAAATCCGTAATTTTTCTTCTCCTCGTGGAGCGCATGCAGGAGTCCGGACTGTCCGGCTCTAGAAGTGAGCATCGGATCACCTTAATGAGTTTTTAACTACGACACCAGCGCTGCTTCCTAATAGGGGCAAGCCGCTGGAGCGGCCAGCCTCTGGGGCGCGCGGTACAGTTTCTGCAAATTCACTAAAACATGACAGGGATCGGCTCCAGCTGACACCTGGACGTCTCTGCATCCCAGAGTTGATCTGCAGCGACGTATCAGAAAAGTTGCAAAAAAATAAAAATAAATAAAAATAAAAATAAAATAAAGCCACCCAGCTCTGACTCACCTTGACCACGTCGTCGTTGATGCGCTTCGGATCCCGGTTGACCAGGTCGATCTCCTTGGTGTGGACGTCCTCCATCGCCTTCTCGTTCAGACTCTCGTTTTCCATGTCCTTGTTGTTTGGTTTATAAATGTTCCCTTGTTTCCGGATGAACGAATGCAAATACTCCTGTGAGGATCACGGCAGAAGTGCAGGAAAGGCGGACAGGAGGGGAAAAAAAGAAGAAGAAGAATAGAGGAGAGGAGAGGAGCGTCGGTGAGGTGCGGGAACGGAGCGCAGCGCACTGTGAAGGCAGAGGAACTGGAGCTGAGTTACCAGCCTGCCCCGCAAACAGGGATGGGTTTCGAAAGAGCACACAGTCAGGCACCACACCCTGCGTTCAGCCGCAAGGGGTCCTCACCACCCAGATAGCAATAACACAATATCCTGACCTGTATGGAAGCCCACAAGTGCCATAAAATCATTTTTTTTTTTTTTGCCATAGTACAATTCCAGCAGAAAATAAACATGTTCAAAAGTTTTTTAAACGTTTGAATTCAAAGATATTCTTCACCAAAAAAATGGATGGATTTTACATTTTGAGACTTACAGTGTCACATTTGTCAATGAGACAATAACATCTGATTGGTTAAGCTGCACTGCAAGTACATTCAAACCAATCACATGTGACCATGCCAGTCATAGCCAGTCTAACCTGAGGCAGTAAAAAAAATTTGTGTAATAATTAAATTATTATACATATTTGTTTTATTAGTAGTATTTAGAAATGACATGTACAACTATACATTTAGTGATTGAAACAAGGCTTGCTTTCCAATATGAATCATTGTTAACAATTAAACAAATATTTTATGGATTATTTATTAGTTATGATTATTTACTGGTTTTTATTGACAAGCAATAATCTTAAATTTGAATAAATATTTTCCGTAAAATATTATTGGCAGTTATTATGAGTAGCTGACATAATAGTTATAGTAATAGCAATTTAACTTGCTGAAGACACACTTATTTGTTGTGTATGTATTCACTTTTAAATTGTGGCACTTTTGGGCCTCCACACAGTGTAACAGTCGGCATGGAAACATTTTTCGGAAAGTGCGTAAAAGGGCAAATTTGAGCTGCTTAGGCATAAAGAGCTGCTTCTTCTCCAACGTGTCATATTCTGACATCCATTCCTCTCATCAGCTGATGGTTTAAACTATTTTGACATAAGGTCGGTTTCCGTTTTAATTTGTTCAAAGGCTGCGAGTTAAACCCCTCCTTGATTTCCGATGGTAAACGAGTGAAATAGTTCGAACTTGTCTTAAAAAACTGTAAATCAGATTAGAGGAAGAATTTTTAAATTGAAAAAAAAGAAAAAAAGATTTGTCGTCTTCCTCTCCTGCAGTTCAACTCCAAATGTCCATTTTGAGGATTTGCGTGAAACTGCGGTCCGCCAGACTGTTGACGAGCAGTGAAATTCTCGTCAGCGCTCTAATTCAGGCACAGTGGCGCTTTTACATTCCCTCTGAGAAAGCGAGACGCGTTCAGGTGAATGTGGCCCCTGAACGCGCCACTGGAGAGTGCACGTTGGATTTTGTGTCGCAGACGTAAATGAACCTCCTCCAAACGAGAAAAGACAGAATTCAAGTGCAAACAAATGAGGATAATAATAATAATGGTAACTAGACGTGAGTGGACTGCAGTCATACTGTACCTCCTCCGTCTCGTCGTCCCGCAGTTCTCCTGTCATTCTGCTGCCAACAGATCCTGGAGCTCAAACAGAACGTGACAATATAGGAAGTGGAGTGGGAGGCGTGGAGGCAAACTGCGCGGACCGGGATTCCTCTCTCCTGCCCTCAGCCTCAACTGGAACTGAAATGCAATGCCAGGGCGCCGAGGGAACCTTCAGCGTTTTTTTCCTTTTCCCCTCTGTAAAGCTTCCCCGTCACCTGCAGGCATCCCGCTGCGCTGAAGTGCTTGGATTTATTCATTCATTTTATTTTAGTTAAACATAAAGTCATACTGTCATATTAGTAATGTGATTTACTTTCAATTTACATAACTCTAATCCTGCTGACATAAAAATAATATGTTAAGTCAATGATTCATTTCTTTGAGTGTAAGACCCCAAAATCACGTTGGTAAAAAAAAAAAGGTAATTTCAGGAAATTGACGCCATGTAGCTTAGCAGCATTGTGTCTTCCATTGGATGTGTTTACATATATTTCCCCTGAACGGCTCTGCTGCTGTTTACAGACTGACAGGCTGCTGATCCGGTCCGGTCCAGTCCAGTCCAGTTACATTCTCAACAACACGTTTCAGGATCCCAGCAGCTGGCTCCAAACTGCAGACATGCTGCATCTGTGTGTGAAACGAGGTGAATGTTTTTATATCCTTCAGAATGAATTTGGCTAATTATGAGTTTATTTCAATTGATCGTGCAATTAAATAAGATTACAGTTTTACCCAATGTGACCATTTACTGGTAAACAAAAATATCCATGGAGACATGGACAAGTTTATTTTAGTGTGGAAAACCCCGACTGGCCTAAACAAAGTCTTTCTCTCACATTGGGATGAATTAGAGTGGAGGCTGAAATCCAGACCTTCTTATCTAGCAACAGTGTGTGACCTCACAAATGTACTTCTGGAAGAATGCCCCAAAATCTCTGATAAACACAAATTTTCCTCCACATAGTTGAAGCTGTTATGTCTGCAAGGCATAAAACTAAATAATATAAAAGTCTGTTGATTAATAAAGGGATTCCACTCATGGTGACATGCATGTGACAGCAGCAGAGAGATGGTGGCACGCCTCAAATTCAAACATTTGAAGATTTCTGTGTCCAAAAATGGCTACAGTAACATCATGCACACCCATATGATGTTACTTTCTTACATCACTGTGTTAATGTGTCCTTTTTAAAGTATAACCAGTCATTGCACCAACTGGGATTTCTTTTCACATCTGTTGCAACATGACTGATTTTACTACTGAATGCAGCATAAAAAGAAAAAATCCAGTTATTCATTTCTAATTTATTCCTGTTGATACCACTGTTTCTTTTGAGCTTTTGCCCTTTGGGCAAAACTCAGAGAAACATTCCCACCTACATTTTATTCCCTCTTCAGTGGGTGTGGCTCACAACTATGACTAGGACAAAAACTATGTTTTGTCTGTCACGCTCTGCTACAGACTCATACACACACACAAAATTTTAAAAGATCACACACACACAAATCATACAGACATACCATTTTGAATGATAGGGCAAAAATGTATGTGTGTGAACTAACACTAGAATGAATGAATGAATGAATGAATTGGGATGAGACTTGAATTTTTCTGTGTGAGACAGTCGTGTGAGAGCTGTCACAGAAGAGGTGGGTCATAATTTGGAGATCAGATCGCGCATGTGTTGATACCACAATGAAGCTTAATTATATTAATTAATATGCAGTCCTGACTTGCTGTGAGCTTGTCGGCCTGCAGACGGCACACGGCGTATTTCATACCACTGTATTTGTCACAGCGATAACTTTGATCTGATCTGGTCAAGGAACATGATGGTAAACATTTTTTTTATACCAGGAGTGCTGTTCATCACAAATTCCTTCAGCGAAGGACAGGTTCCAATAGCAACCCAAGTTGAGTTGCAATTGCTGTGCAGACCTGCAGGTCTGACAGTGGAGCCTCGAGTGATGTGGCATCAACACACAGTTCAGATTTGTTGATGAAAGTGTCTTAGACAATGTGAGCGAAGACGATTTATGAGAACTTTCTGGCACCGACCCGCATAACTCAACCATCTCAATTTCTGCAACTAAATAACGACAAACCTCACACAACCATTTCCTCAGGGGGAAAATGAATCTTTATTTTAGATAACTTACACATGGTGTCCTTCAGTTTCAAACTGCATCTTAACGTGTTGTAAAAAGAACATCAAAGCAAAGTTTTGCATAAATTCAGAGGAGTATCAATAACTGCATTTCCATCGACCATAAAATTGTGCAAATTGAAAATTCTCAAATACATTTGGAAAATGGAAATCCGCCAATTAAAAAAAAACCCTCTCGCTTTTCAATAAAAAGTTTTTGCACTCAGATGTGATGGTCTTTCTATGGAAGACTATGAGGGCTACTGGAAGAAAAAAAAATCATTCTGACATTTGTTGTGGAAAGTGTCTTTCAGATTCTCAGATTTTTTTTTAGATTAAAGTCAGAATTATTTTTCTTTCTTTTCCAGTGTTCCTAACACTCTTCCATATTTTTCAAACATACTGAAATATATGTATTTCACAAAACTGCGATGGAAACACTTTTTTTGCATCATGCGAGTCACATGATCAACAGCCAGCTATTACTACTGGTGGAAACCACAAAGAAGAAGACAACAGAATAGTAATTGCAAAATTGTGTGTTTTTGGCATCAGGACAACAACATAAGGTAAGACGTTAGCTTAAAGGTCTGTTATTGTGTCACCAGTTCTTTTCAGACCATCAACAGCAAAAACAAGGAGCATTTTTAAAACTTAAATTTCCCCAAACGGTTGAAAACACTAAAACATATGAAATCATTCCTGGATACTTTTCAGTTTGCAGCTGCAGTTTGTTTTGCCTGAACCGGAGTCTCTGCCTCACAGCAAACAGTCACGCCCCAATCTCACAAAGGTTCACTTCTGTAGACGTGTGTCAATCTGGAACACAGCATGTCTCCTTCCCAGAAAAGCTCCTTCATCTTCTGGCATTTTTAAATAATAAAATAGAGGCCCAGCATTAAGGTCAATGTTATCTAAATTCATCACAGTAGATATGTTAGTGAATGCCTGCAAATGTGTAAATGCTACATTTTAGCTTTTAACAGTTAAACTTCTGCAATGTAATGCTTTCTCTCCTTCAGCTCACTACATTTAGCTTATAGTTGAATAGTTTGCAATATATACAATTTGCATATGTTTATAGAGCAGAAAAATTACATCTACTAACATGTCAGGAAGTTAGTCTTAACTGATTCTTGTACAGAAATGGAATGAGAAGAATGAATTTTGGTTACAATTTAAAACAGTATTCGATGACGCTCAAAAAGACCATGTCATATCGAACATGAATGATTATTACCCATAAAAAACACACACTGTGGATGTGTTCCTGATTACTTAAAATACATCTGCCCTGTCTGAACCTTAGTCAATACATTTATGGAATATTGAGTTTTCTGAAGCAATCCAAAGCAGTGATCTACAGAAAGCAGGTAAAACCAGGAGAATCTCACATAATTATGTAGTTCATTTATAAATGTCATTAGATGACTATAGTCTGGATCATAGGTGTCAAACTCTGGCCCGCGGGCCAAATTTGGCCCGCAGTGTAATTATATTTGGCCCCCGAGGCAATTTCAAATTAATATTAGACATTTACGTCAGAAAGGAGGCATTAAATGTTTATTTAAATTTTATTTAATATATTTAATATTTTATTTCATATACTAAATATACTTTATTTAATATAATAATATGTTTTATTATTATTAGCAACTCAATTTTGCACACCTGCACTTTTAAGTTAGATAAGCTTTGCTTATTCAATATTTATTGTTATATTAGAACTTGTTTGGGTCCATATTAAAAGATTCATTTGTTCAACCTTGGCCCGCGACTTTGTTCAATTTAAAGTTTTGGCCCACTGTGTATTTGAGTTTGACACCCCTGGTCTGGATGATCATTTTCCTTAAATGCTTCAGTAAAATTGACCTGAACATTAGACAGTAAAGATTAGCTAATATTCAGTCTAAAGAAAACAAGATCAACTACCAGCAGTGTAACTCTAACTCCAATCGATAAAACTTGGGCTCTTATGAATGTAAGAATAAGTAAGTGAGTTTTTAAACTATTTCCAATAAGTATAAAACATCCCAGTTCAAATTTGATGACAAAAACATAATAAAAATATTGTTTTTGTGCTTCTTCAGTAATAAAGCTTCTATCAACCTGGTATTGAGAAAAAAAAATGTTTAGTGTTGAATTACAGCATTCAGGTTGAACTTCTTGAGTATTTTAGATCTGAAATAGAGATGACATAGCTGGGGCTTAGTAAAAAAGCTAACTTTAGCGTCAGTAGCAGCTAACAGTTAGCTTGTCCATCTACTCACTGTCACAGCAAACATTTGACCAAATGCAGTCACAAAGAAACTCAGAAATAGCCCTTCAACTCTAAAAATTGATGCAAATGGCTGACGACTTTACAAACATCAAAGGCTGCCACACAATGCTAAGATGGTGGAAACTTTTTTTTAAATGAATTAATTTTTTTATTAATATTGAAGCAGAAAGTTGTTAGTCCAACAAACAATATTTAACAGTCAACTCCATCAATGCAATAAGAGAAACAACTCCAAAACAACTTTCTTCCTCACTTCAAAATAAGACTCAAATCTAGCACCAACCTGCAACCTAAAGCACACGCTTAATGTCTGAGACTCGGAACAAAGTCACATGAAGACAGCAATTTTTTGAGACATTCTTCATCACAACATGAAATATACTTTTACTACCTAGTCATCAATATTTCACCCAAATCCACTTCAGAGGAAACAACAACCAGAACAATTTGTTACAAAACCCACGTAAATGCTACGGAAGTTTGTCTCTCTCCTACAAAGGAGTCTGCTAAAACAAGATGAGGTTTTCTGGTCATACTCTAAACCTCTTTTTCCCAATGATTGTCTTTTATTTTCACACATCTTTCTTTATCTTGTATTGAACCTTCTAAGAGCTCACGTCTCCCTCGACCCTTTTTAATGTTTCCCATCAACTCAGGGAAAAGTTAAAGCAGGTGTCTGCTTCAGTTCTCTGTGGTTTGAATCTGAATGGAGGACAAACATTTCCCCAGACTCTGGAACAGCGGTGCTATGAAAATCTCTGTCAGACTCCTCCATATCTTCTGCGCTGAAGGCAGGAGCATCATGAAGCTCTGGACCACTGGCATCACCAGCCTGGACAGACAAGAAGAATAAAATCGTATAAAGTCAAAATAAAATGAGGAAAAACTCCCACTGATACGAGAATAGAGTCATACAGCAAAAAAGTCAAAGCAGTAGAAGAAGAAAAGTTGCTATAATATGAGAATAAACTCAAAGCATTTGAAGAATAAAGTTGGACACAATAAAGTCACAATAATGCAAGAAAGTTGTTAACACAACTTTTAACAACAGTCTAAGTTAGGGGAGTTCAATGCCATCTGGTGCTCACTGAACACATTACTGACGCAGAACGCTACAGACAAAGTCAAATTTGCTAAACAAAGATTGTTTGAACATGGGGATAAACCAGGTAGATACCTTTCCTATCGTACAAAAACACGGAAATCCTCCCAAACAATCGCTTCAATTTCTGACCGGAGGGGTTCATGTTCTACAGACCCATCTCATTACTAAATACAGATTTGAATATACTGTCCAAAATTCTAGCTACATGCTTGGAAAACATTCCTGCAATAACCTCAGATGTCATTTGAATGTGATTCACCTGTGTCAGCAGTGGGCGATGGACGGTTTTCTAATCTCCTTAGACACAGAGAAGACATTTGACCGCATAGAATGGTCATGTCTTTTTCATACTCTGCATCAATTTGGACTGGATCCCAACTTTATCAGCTGGATTAAAGTCCTCTACAGTCATCCTTTAGCTATTTATTATTTGTAATACATAGGGACCAGTTAAAAGGGGAACTAGGGATATAAAGTTGTCTACCCAGGGGCATGGCCTCGGATTTGGAGAAGTTTATTTTGTATCCTGAGAATGAGCATTTAAATGTAATACATTTATTACAGTTATTACAAATGGGCTTAGGTCCAGAAACTTTGAGGTGGGAAGGGGAAACAGGTAGAGTTGCCCCTTTCGCCTCTTTTATTCACCTTTGCAATCAAACCGCTGGCTGAAGCAATTTGTAGTGACCCCATTGTAATCGGTGTCAACACTGATCTGTGTGCTTTATGGGTCCCCCAATAAAAAAATTATCAGGGGACCCACTGAAGTGGTAGGTTCTCTCCAGACCTACCACTTCAGTCGAAAGAGTCATCGCAATTATTAATCGGTTTGGCTCATTCTCAGGATACAAAATAAACTTCTCCAAATCCGAGGCCATGCCCCTGGGTAGACAACTTTATATCCCTAGTTACCCTTTTAACTGGTCCCTGCAGGATTTAAATATCTCGGCATATTTGTCACACCTTTGTCACACCTTTCTTCGATCAGATGTTCAAAACAAACTTTGTCCCATTATTTGAAAAAGTTAAGCGGGCCCTTGAATGTTGGAACAGTCTTCCTATATCTTGGCTGGGCAGAATTTCGCTTCTTCAGATGAACTTTCTCCCTTGCTTGTTATACCCAATTAGGATGATTCCTATTTTGTTTACTCAAAGGTGGATCCAACAATTAAAGAGTTGGTTTGGTTCCTTTTTCTGAGCCAAAAGAAGAGCATTCATAAAAATGTCAACACTACAGCTAGCAAGAGACATGGGAGGCTCAGATCTCTCATCAAGTGAGTTCTCTTATATTATAGAGTGGATATCTGGAAATTCATCCACAATGTGGCTGGATGTAGAAGCCTCGTTATGTGATTGCCCTCTTAAAAGCCTTACTTTTTCCTAAAAATATGAAAACCATAAATAAATGTTGTCACAATCCAAACACCGTGAACACAGTCAAGGCTTGGAGAGCGGATCAACACATCGAGGGCAGAACTGAGAAAACATCCCCATTTACACCATTTGTCCAGAACCCTGACTTTCTTCCGGGTATGTTGGATGCAGGTTTTGGGGATTGGGTGGCGAATGGTATTTCCTCTTTGGGCTGTCTTTTTAAGGATGGGATCCTCATGTCTTTTAATCAAGTTGTGGAAATTTTGGAAGTTTGGAGGAGGGAAAAATAACCTCTTCTATTTCTTCCAGCTAAGAGACTTTGTTAAAAAAAGAACCAACTCTACTCAGAGACACTGCGGTTTCAGACATTGAAAAACAGTTTTTCAGAACTTGTGAAGTGTCACTCAGCATGTGCTACGAAACATTAAAATGCTATAAGTGTCACTTATCAACTCTGGCCCAACTGGGGAGGAGAGCTGATTATTGACATTACTGATGAAATGTGGAGCAGTATTTGGAACTCTGCCAGAAAAATGACTATTTGTAATCACTCCTGGCGTTGCAACTTAAATCACTACATAGAGCTCACCTGACCCCAAACCAGGTGACTAAGTTTAAACCAGGGTCCTCCTCCCTGTGCCCTCTGGTTGTGCCTAAAATCCAGTTCTACTGGGAATCAATTCTGGCTGAGACTAGGAAAATTATCAAAACTAATATTGATATCAATCCTGTGTCTCTTCTCCTTGGTCTACCAAATAAACATATCCAAAATCAAAACAAGAGTAAGTTGTATAATGTCCTAATTTTCTGAATACTGTGTTGCAATGGATTTCTAATAAATCTCCTACTATTTTTGGATGGAAGAGCCTTGTTTTGGAGAATATCCCTCTCGACTCTCCAACATGCCTCGTCCACTCTAAGACTGACACTTTTGGACGCAGATGGAAGCCCTTCTTGGACTATGCTGAAGGACACGTGTCTACCATCCTGTCGAGCATTATAAATGCTTAGATGTGAACTATATAATGATGGAAATATGTACGCCCACCATCTTATCCTTTCTTTTTGTCTCCTATGGACTGCACTGCTGAGCTTTTGTTCTGTGTTATGTTGTTGTTATTAAACAAACATTAATAAACATATCTACAAAAAAAAGACTCAAAAATTATAAGTCAAATGTTGATCAACTCTTAACTCTGGTCAGTAGGAAATGTCTTGAAAAAAAATCACATTAGATTTCTCTGGATTCAGCCCCGTTGTTGGTTATCATGCATTATAATACTAATATTCAGATTTCACGTCACAAGTTCAGTCAAAATAAATCAGACAAAAACAAAATCATATGAGCATTTAGACAGCATCTTCCCTGATGGAAACTTTCATAAAACTCAGTCTGGATTATTTAATCTGACCTCTGGCAGCAGCTCCTGGTCTCTGTGACCTTCAGATGAACTGAGCAGCAGCTCTACATCTCTCTAATGAATTCCTCTGACATCTTGCTGAGAGATTGTGCTGAAGTTTCTCTGGTCTGCTCCACAAGCAAACTAAAAAATTTCCACTCTGGTTTGAAAAATAGACTTTAATTGCTGCTGAAACGCAGTCTGTCTGCTGGAGCAAAAAGGCTTTATATATTTGTTTTTTATTTTTTTCATTACCAGTGGAGTTCAACATTCCTCCAAAGTTTCCAGGCACTGCTTGTATGTGTATTTAAAACAATTTTCCATTAAGCTTTCATGCGTGAAGTTGAGGGTTATGAACCTGGGAGCAACTGGCCCAACGTACTGCTTATGACACATCGCACAATTACATAACTATGACATAATTACATAAATAAACAATAGTGCACTGTCTCTTCAATAATGAATAATATAAAAGCCAATAAATGCATTTCAGCTTTACGTCTTTAGTGTGGAAACACCAAGCTGTTGTTGGGATTTAATCTTTGTTTTCTGTCTCTGATGTGAGACCTGGAGAAGGAGCAGCCTGAGACGGGGGACATGTCCTCACCAGACGTGGAGGCAGCTCAGCGCTCCGAAGAGCAGCCCGAGTGTGAAGGCCATGGGAATGGCCAGCAGGGTGGTAAGCAGCCGGTAGGAGAAGAACTTGACCAGCTCGAAGGTGGCGTGGCTCCCGATCCAAACTCTGTCGAAGCTGTGGGCGGAGCTCGGCTCGCCGATCACGTCCTCGAAACCCACCTGTTGAGACACGACGATCAGAGCCGGCCCACGTCATATGCAAACTAAACTCCTGTTCAGAGTGCTAAAAAAAACAGCTGGGGCCCCCAACACCATATTGATTACTAGACATGTCTAAATATTGTGGCTGTGTCAAATAATTTCAAATGGAATTTAAGTTTGTTTTTTGTTTTTTTCAAAATTGACGTGTTTCCATTAGTCAAAAAATATCTGTGATTTCAATGAAAACACAGCCACTGAGTGATCACTACATGTAGTGTACTCTACAGCCTGGGCAGTCAACACACAGCAACATAAAGGTGGACAGGACAAACAATTTAGAGACCAGTCGACTGACAGTACAATCAATGCAAAAACAAAACAACAATGGAAACAATTCTATTTATTCTCGGAAATTATTTCAGTATTTTTTCAGAAATGGAGACCTTACACTGCCCTCCAACCTCTGAAGACAGAGACCAGACCCTGCAAGGACAAGTGACCAGAGACAACTATATACTTTCACTAAATGTAGAATTAATTAAGTTTTTTTTTATTGAATGAAATAACTTTTGTTAATTTTTCTAAAAAGTTTGGTTTTACTGAATACAGGAATATCTAATAAGATCCATAAGAAATTATACAAATCATGAAGAACATCATTGACTTAATGGTTGTCCATTGATTCTCCTTCCAAAAGTGATGTACTGAAATAAAAAGAAGTTGACTTTTCCGTTTTGCTGTCAAGTGGAAAGTTTAGTGGAAAGAAAAAGGTCCAATGTAGTAGCCATCTGCTCGGAAATGTTTGAGAACATCACGTATTCTTGTTCCATCAAACTTTTCAGAGATGCTGACTTCTGCTCAGCACCTCCCCACACTTCACTAGATGGGTTATCAGTGGATTTGACTGGATTTCTTTCATTCCTAAAAAGGCTCACAGGCTGGACAAATTCTGACTGATAAATACTGTACAGTACACATACAATATGTTTATTAGGCTGATATTTCTGTGTAAAAACATAATGATTATTATAATAATAATACAATTTTGTATAAACCTGAATTATCTGTGTTTAAAGTAAAAAACAAAACAAACAAAAAAACTAAACATGCGTATTTACGTATTTATGTTTCATGCAGTGCTTTAGTTTGTTTTGATATTGGATTACTGAGGTGGGATCCCGCATACATTCAGGTTTCTCTGACAAAAGCCAAAGCGCCAAGCGACTAACCTTGAACAAATGAACAACAAAGACTTGCAGGCCGGAAATAGTTAAGAGATGATGGATGCACGCGCAGGCAGCGACTTCCAGGTATTTATGGAACTGATGAACTCCTCACAATGACGACCATAACAACAAAACGCTCGCAGTGAAGTAATAAGATGAGATACATCAAAGTGTAGAAACGTCGAGCCTCGAACATTTCCACTTTCAGAGTCTCCGCGCGCGCGTGCTGACGTTACCTTCAGATGCGCGTTGATCTCGTTTGGATCCCGATCCGGCGCCTCCGAATACACCTTCCCCTTCTTCATCAGAATGGGCTCTATGGATAGGTTGAACTCGTCCTCGTCCATAATTATGCTGGTGTCCAGCTTTTCCTTCTCCACACCCATGTCGCGTCGAGACAGAGGTGGACAGACGGTGCGCTGAGGGCGGCAGAGTGCGCCGGACTGAGCGCCACCCCGCAGCGCAGCGCAGCGCGGCGGGGAGCCGAGTTGCTCTGTGCAGCAGTTGTGTTGAAACACACAATTCTTCTAAAGTTCATTTCGATTGTACAACAATGCTACTTATAGCCAAGCTCTTTTAAAATGTTGTAAAACTATTTTTAGCGTTGAAATTTTGATTTTCCTGAGGAGTGATTTCATAAAGTGAGATCAAAGGCGGCCCAAGTCGTAACTCCTTTTTAAAGGGGAAGTATTTTGTAAAATTGACTTTTTTGAGCTTTACATCATGTTATAATTTTATTCCCTCATCAAAAACATTCCTGAAGTTTTGCTTTGATTCTTTCAGGTATGTCTGAGAAATCATTTAATTTCCTATGGCAACCATTCAGCTGCGCAAAACACCTGGTTGGATCTACCTTCAAGGTGAAGCTCCTCCTCAAAGGTGCAGTTTCCAGGGTACCAAACGTCAGCCTCACACAGCAGTTCAACTCAGCTCCTTCAGACTAGCCAGCAGGAATTGGCAAACACCTGCTGGAACTGAGCATCAGACATGAGCTCATTATGGGAGCTACTTCTAAGTGCAATGCTGGTAAAAACAATTGTGAAGAGGTTTTATTCGTATTAAATGATGTTCCTTTATGTGTCATATAAATGTAATGTTTTTTGAATCACAGTCAAGGTGTTTTTCTGTGCAGCTGGAAACGATGTACAAACTAATGAACCAAGATGTGTCTACTGAAGTAAGTTTCCAGGGTTGCTGAACTTCCCCAGACAGTTATTTGGGAACTCGCTGTTTTTCCCGTGGCCTTCCCTGCATGGAGACAGAGTGTTTAGTTTTCACCTCCCGTAAACACTACAGTGAATGAGCATACAAGGTTTCGTATGTTTTCCTTTGTTTCTTTTGTTTGGTCTTCGAAGATTGAGTCTCCGCCTCGGTAGTAAAGAGAGATGAATAAAGTAACTATGCAACTCTGGGTTCCTCAGAGCGGATCCTAATTTGTGCCTAATGCAGTATATTTCTTGCTCTCCGTCTGCAGATGTATTAAAGATTGTTTTTGCTCCCTAACTTTTGTCTGGATCTCAGTCTCTGAATTGTGCACTTCACACACTGTTAAAGTATTAATGGAGCAGCCATGTTGAGATGACTTCCTGATGGTGGAACATTGGAGAGAGCAGGGCATTCATAAAGAGACAGAGGCCCAATTTCAAGGAGTTGAATTACAAAGTCGAGTTTCTTTTGAGTCAAATTTGATATATTGCATTTTAATATCAATTTAAGGTAGTAGGCTATTGATATCACAGAATATCAGATAACTCAGAGTGCCACTCTTGTCAGTCAGGACATATCATAAAACAAAGAAAAAATATAAACAGATTATCCTTCCTATAACTCTTTATGGAAGATAATAATTCAAATCAAAGGGACCAGGATTTGTTGTAAACTGGATTAAAATTTACCTGAGATTGAATGTTGTTATTTGCATGATTTAAATTCAAACTATGTACAGTTACATCAATGTATTTTTACCATGTACTTTATTTGTAGTTGAAAATATCATTTTCCATAAAATCATTCCACCATCAAACATCAAACCCTCAACACAAATAATTCCTAAGTCTTAATTCATAGGAATACAATTCAATACAATCAGTGATTTTATTCACCACACATTCAAATTTTCATTCTCTATCTGAATGGATTTACAGCTCTATTATGTTTTCATCAACCAAATTTGTGAGTTGGTCTAAAGGGAAAACATTTTCTAAAGCTCATAAATCACATGGACTTGAAAAGGTTTTCTAAAGGTAAGGCTGACATCAGAACAATGTGATTTTGTTTGCGAAGATGAAAAGTTATCAACATAAGATAACAATAAAGTATGGCTATGTTGTCAAGACAATATGTTTCATTAATCCACTTCACAGACTGGGTTAGTCTTTTGGTTACTGAGAAATTGCAAGGAATAAAATTGATGACAAAAACAAATAGGAACGATTTGTTGAATTTTTGGAAATATACAAGGAGTCATCTATTTTCAAACTTACAGTTAAAAATATATTTTTTAATTTTGTAATGAAATGTGGTTATGTCACGCTGATAAATATTATCTACTAGTATTAGTACTAGTGCTAAGACTAATTTAGTCAAAAGTCATAATTCATCATATTTAATGAAAATCACCATGTTTGTATTCAGAACCAGTCAGAAGAAATTGTGTGTAATACATACATATATGTACTACACACAATGGGATATTACACTACATGGGATGTACCACCAGCAAATAACCCAAGTGTCTGATATCAGTAAATTCTACCAATGGCTGGAAAAAGCTGGACTCAAGGACAGCACAGAGGACCTCATCCTGGCCGCCAGGAAAGGCCCTAAACACAGAGCAATAGAGGCCCAGATCTACCACACCAGACAAGACCCAAGGTGTAGGTTGTGCAAGGAGGCCCCTGAGACAGTCCAGCACATCACAGCAGGGTGCAAGATACTGGCAGGGAAAGCGTACATGGAATGACATAACCAAGTAGCAGGCATAGTGTACAGAAACATCTGTGCAGAATATGGACTGGAAACCCCGAGATCAAAGTGGGAAACACCCCAAAAGGTGGTGGAGAACGCCAGAGCTAAGATCCTGTGGGACTTCCAGATCCAGACAGACAGAATGGTAATGGCGAACCAACCAGACATTGTGCAAGTGGTTTGCAGTTGGCTTCAAGGGTGGTTTTCCACAGCTTCATCGAGTTTGCAATGAAGACTCTCAGAATCCTGTTGATGTTATACATCTCTAGGCATTCAATGATCCAAGTATGCGGCATTGAGTCATAGGCTTTCTTGTAATCGATCCAAGCCATGCACAGGTTGGTGTGTCGGGTTTTGCAGTCTCGGGCAACTGTGCGGTCTACGAGGAGTTGGTGTTTGGCTCCTCTGGTATTTACACCGATACCCTTCTGTGCCGTGCTCATGTGTTTATCCATGTGTTTGCTTATCTTGGCCGCTATGATGCCTGACATGAGCTTCCAGGTTGTGGAGAGGCAGGTTATTGGTCGGTACAACAGATCCCAGGAACAACATCAGACATCTCAGTCCAGAAATGTGCAGTCCTTGGCACAGCCAAGATACTGCGCAGAACCCTCAAGCTCCCAGGCCTCTGGTAGAGGACCCGAGCTCAGAGGATAAGAACCACCCGCGGTGGGTGAGAAGGGAATTTTTATATATATATATAAATAAGGCATCAGTATATCACCCGAGAGGGCGGGGTTCGAATCCAGTCTGGGTCCTTAGGCAAGACCCTTCAAGCTACTGCCTACCTCATACCATGAGAGATACTAAGTTGCATAACATGCCGGCTCAGACGTCGCCCGGCCAAACAAGATCTGCGTCAGGTGTTGGGGAACCAGAGCACCTTGATGACAAATGGGCTACTGGAACAAGACGGAAATGGGCAAGAGATGAAAACGTGGATCTGTTGGAATGCTACTACTCAAGTAACCCTAGTCAGAGAAGTTAGACTGGGGAAGGAATGGTTACTTCGACATCCCCAGTCAACACTAAGCGCTAAACAACTAGTAGCTCATTGTTCCAACATCCGCAAACGGCAACTGCTATCACAACTTGAGATTGACGAGATACAACACAAATGCTACGGCAAAAGGGAGGAACCCGGATGTCAGGACTGTGGGGACTTAACTACAAGTCCCCACCCAGTGAGGGGATACATGAGCGAAACAGAGCTGAACGAGACAGCTGCTGACCTGAGAGAGAGAATCATGACCCGAATGACAACCAGGCCTCCTCGGCGCCAATTACAACGGCTGAGTGAAGTACCATCAGAAAGTCTCATAGAGAATGTGAATGCAGCATTGAGAACGATCCCTACCAACACCATAACAGAAACCAATGAGCTGATCTACAACTCAGCATCAGTGATCCTTGAGATACTTGGCTATAAGAGCACCATGAGACCCAATACCACCATGGAAAAGACGGTTAGAGGCTAAAATCAAGGTAACAAGGAGGGAAGTGAGCCAAAGCTCCACAAGGGTACAATGAAAAGACCAGTACCCAGAAAGTACAGGCAGATGCCCATACCTGAAGCACTTGAAACTGCCAAACAGAGGCTCCAAGCCTTCGCCAGCCGCCTAAAGAGATACACAAGGGAGAATGAATCCAGAAGGATTAACCGGCTCTTCTCCACTCAACCAGCTAAGGTGTACTCTCAATGGCAGGGTAATAACAACAGAGCAGCACCAAGGCTGGAGACTGAACAATACTGGAAAGGCATATGGGAAAGGGAGGCGTCCCACAACAGCAATGCACAGTGGCTGATCTCTCTACGAGAGGACCACAGCAACCTCTCTGAGCAAGCCCCGGTAACCATCACTGTGACAGATGTTCAAGAAAGAGTCTCAGGCATGAAAAACTGGACAGCACCAGGGCCTGACATGATCCATGCCTACTGGCTAAACTAAAACTAAAGAAACTCACTGCTCTCCATGAGCGACTGGCAGCCCAAATGAACCAGCTGCTACAAAGTGGGACTCACCCTGAATGGTTAACTGAAGGGCGGGACATCCTTATCCAGAAGGATACATCAAAGGGTCCAGTCCCACCCAACTACCGACCAATAACCTGCCTCTTCACAACCTGGAAGCTCATGTCAGGCATCATAGCAGCCAAGATAAGCAAACACATGGATAAACACATGAGCACGGCACAGAAGGGTATCGGTGTAAATAGCAGAGGAGCCAAACACCAACTCCTCGTAGACCGCACAGTTGCCCGAGACTGCAAAACCCGACACACCAACCTGTGCATGGCTTGGATTGATTACAAGAAAGCCTATGACTCAATGCCGCATACTTAAAATTGAATGCTTAGAGATGTATAACATCAACAGGACTCTGAGAGCCTTCATTGCAAACTCGATGAGGCTGTGGAAAACCACCCTTGAAGCCAAATGCAAACCACTTGCACAAGTGTCCATCAAATGTGGCATATACCAAGGAGATGCTCTG